ATTTTTTAGCTTTAATGAGGCATTCAGGTTAGCACAGTCCTCCTTTATTAAACTCCGCTTAAAACTTATTAAGCTTTCTTCCATATTATGAGACGAACAATCAGAGGGAGAATGTATACTTATATCTGCCTTTACCATATACTGAGATCATAAAACTCAGATGAAACACATCAGACGTCAGTTTCTAATATACTAGCATACAGTAATTCTGTGAGTATAGATATCATAAATATACGTATACGTTTATATAGTAATATGGGTGTGTTTACAGATAGGCCAGAAGTGAGTAATAAAAGTTCCAGGAGCTTCATTTAACATGCGATGGCTGGTAATGCACACGCATGCCGTGTTTGCAAGTAAGAGTAAAAGAAAAAAGCCAGGTAGTTTTATACAAAAACATAAAAGGAACCTTGTGGAAGCTCAAAGCATCCACCTCATATAATCAATTTGTAGCAATGATTAAATTATATAAAGGAATATCAAGTAAAGATATATTAGGCGCTTTAGAAATACACCATGTGTACATACTCAATTTTTAGAAATAATTTGATCTGAGATTTCGAAATAACATATAATAACAGAGTTTGATTATGAGTTTGGCTACAAATGCCTGGAGATGGGCAAAGCTTAATTTATGACAAATGTGAAGCAAAAGGTTTGAACCACGAGAGGGAAGATTTAGAATAAATGATTGTGCTGGAGAGAAAATGAGTCCCAAACAAGCATTTAGCTTCAAGAGGAAATCAGAGGGGGAAACAATAATTTTAACAGCCTAGAAATTCCCTTATTCATCTGGAAACTATTTCATCCGCAAAAGAAGTATTGCCAAAGTAATCTGGGATAATAGGAATGTGAAAACGTGTCGTTTGGAAATCAATTAGAAGAGGCCATCTTTGTTTGAAACAAAAACGAACCATTAAGTCATTCATTAGAATAAAGGTTATTCAAGCTGCATCGAAGTATTATTCATTAATAAATAACTAGAAAAATTAGTATTCAACATATTATATATCTCCGATTCCTGCCTAGCATAAGTTCACAGAGTCGGCATTCGCTTACTCAGTTACTTGACTATATGTATTTATATAGGGTATTGAAACTAGATTAATCCTGGCAGCTTTGAGAATGGATGTTATGCAACAGTAACACATATTATTTTATGCCTCCTTGCCTAAATTGCAACACTTAGGTAAAATCAGATCAAATTAAAGGATGGAAAAAAGGTATCAAATTCATAGTTAGTCACACATGTTATTGAGGCTTAATAGCATTCGAGAAGTACAGTTGGCAGTCTAGTTCAGACTAGAAAGCCCTTTGTGATGAATTGTTAGTAAATTTCCGAGGCTATGTGGGATCAATGGGGGCTCTTAAGCCATCATGTATTTAAATAAAAGAGGGACATACAACAAAGGTCAGTTTTAAAACTAAGGATCTTCGTTTATGGCTCACCTTGACGATGAATCATTCCGCCATGCATTATTCGAGCAACCAGGCATTTGTTATCGTCATTAAGTTTCAGAGTAATTCCCTATAGAAATAAATTTTTAATGAAAGAATCCGTCTATATCATATTGAAAATTTGTACAGTATGAAAAGAATGTGAAATTGTTTGCATGTGTATGTGGCTGCCTTAACCCTATAACATATTATATGTTATATGTTGAAGGGACTCGTTCGATGCACAATGAGGTCATATTCGATCATTTTGAATTAACTAGGAAGACGATGACAGGTCTATAGTCATTATAACACATGGTTAAGTAGTTTTGATTAATTGATGAAGGTTGACACTGGAAATGTCCACAAATAAGTTTTACAGACTCATGTCATTTGGGGTAGTGGAGTTGCCAAACTTCAAGGTCAACAAGCTCTTCTTAGAGAGTCTGTGCATGAATGAAGGAATAGTAATAAAAGCAGGTCGAAACAATAAGTTTAACGTATTCGCGAAAAACACAAATTTGTTGATTCAGCTAAATTTATCAACGCACGATTTTGGGGATCATCCGAAAAACGCATGAGTTGACATTTAAAATGCTTATAGTAGCTAAACTTAATCTTAGTCAAATTAAAGTGGATGCGAACGAAGTACAGGAAAAATGTTTTTCCACTTATTATTATTAAAATAAATTTAAATTTAATCAACCCATGACGATACTTTCCGTCAGCCTGATAGTTATTTATCAAATTTAAACTTGAGGACTTCTGATAACTAAAACAAATCGTCATCGTGGAAATAGAAAATAGCAGTATAATGCGCTTCTTATAAGCGTTGCTGCCACCGTATGCCAGATGATTATGGCTTGAAGGAAAGCGAGAGAGCAGGGGTTATGTTGGCAGACAAAACTTAGCTAAGGTGTAATTAATCTTTTTCCACTCAGCAGACACCTGGATTTATGCTGTATTCACAATAATTGTAACAGATAAATTCGGCCTTTTAGTCAGTAAGAAAATATCATAATTGGTTTTCCATTGGATTTTATTCAAATGAAGTGCATGTAGAAAGTTATTTAACCAGGTCGGAAAAATAATAGTATGAACTATAATTAGACTGAATGAGTAAGAGTTCTGATGCTAATACAAAGGGTTTATAACTACATAACCTAACTTTCCTAAATTAATGGTCCATTATTTCAACGCTTAGGCAACTAGCGTCTATGTTGAAACTCACCATTGGTTCTTCAGTTTTCTTTTGAAACTGGACTAAGCGCACCCTGGTCACTTGGTGGTCTACCTCACCACCAGATCCACTACCAGTGCCTCCGCCCTCCTGAGTGCTTGCATCAGGACCTCGGCGACCCGTGCTAGCGCCATCTGCTTCAAGGTCAGCTTCAAGGTCTTCCTCATCGTCACCATTCAGATAAGAGAAAATGGGTGGTGGGGTAACACGAAAAGCTTCATCTCCATAAACGTCGTGTGAAACTACATCGTTTGCTTGAAGAAGAGCCTGTTGGAAAAATACTTATGGATTAATATGATTATAAAATATATTAACATGACTATAGGTTAATATCAATATGTTTAGACTTTTTATAAGTAGGTTTTTTGAGACTAAACTTCATATATTAATATAAATGCGCCTAAAGCAGATTTATTCAAAATAACCTTATTAGAGAAAAGGGGAAGAAATATGATATAACCTCATTTTCTCAGGAAGACTATAATTGCTGTAAAATTAAAGAGAGCGGATTTGGTTGTCTTAACTTATGTATAATTCAGTCTTCGATGACCGAGTAGAACTAATTCTTGTAAAGTTTGACGTCAACGCTAGGTCAAAAAGTCTATCCAACTCTACCTTACCTCTTATATATACTCAACTAAAAATGAAAATGAATAGGAATATATAGAGATATAGAAAGGTATGGCTAATTGTATTTTATATTGGTCCTGCCACTTTTGCTCAATTGTATGTGTGTTAATATCTATACGCAATAACGGTCCTAAATAAGAGTGATAAAAAAAACCTTATGCCAGGCTCTGGTCATCAAGGCTTAAAGGCCCAAGAAAAAGCCTTAACCGAGACTGCCGTAAGCAACTATGGCTCAAATAATAAGATGTAGGCTTGTAGGCGTGTAAGTCATTTTACGAAACGATGTGTCCTAACCTCTTAGCCTAAGGTCATTAATTTTTAACTACCAAAGGAAAGGCATGACTAGGGCTGCGTAATCTCGTCAGTCTGATTTGGTTAGGGAGCTTGATTTAACATGTTGAACGAGCATGAATGGGGTTAGAATACCCATTTGAGCGGGCAAGTTGAGTCGCCTTCTTCTTCTATCTATTCTAATAGATTCTCTTATTTTATAACTTCATTCATACTCGTCCAACATGTTAGATTAAGCGCATCAATCAAAGCAGATGTAAGAGATTGCGCAGCCTCAGTCATGCAGTTCATTTGGTAGCTAAACGTTGATGATCTTACTTCTTACAATCCAACGGTCACAAATTTAAGGCAACACTTCTTCGGTATCCAGTGCGGCCAATTTACGAATTCCTCCCACCCGCCTTATTCAACAAAATCAAAGATATGCCAGCATGAATGTATTCTTATCCATCGGCTATAAAGGAGGCCCTAATTGTAGACCTAAAGTAATATTGAGTATGTCTAGTATCTGAATTTACAAAATACGAGTGGAGTAACTGATGAAAAATGGCCATACTGATTTATTTAAATTAACCTAGAAAAGGGCACTTCTTTAAAACGAATGGCTTTTTTTAAATAAGTCAGGGGTATTGTTCAAAAATTACATCCAAATATATAAAGCTATTGATGAAAAGGAAATAAAAATTTAGAGGGCCATTACATTTTAGAATCACTCAAAGAGTACAAGCCAATTAATCAGCATAGACTTCAGATCTTGAGTTGACTTGACATTATTTGTAGTAGATCGCATGTGACATGATAAATACTTAGATTAAAGTCAAAGAAAATATAAAAAGTCCAGGGGGAGAAAGCAGCACCTTATGTCTTACCTTAAAGTGAGGTAGATTTAACAGATATCGTAGTTCATCTGCATCTCTAGCATATTCAGGATGCTTTACGTGGGGCAGTCCATCCAAAATCTAATTAAATAAAGAAAGATATGAAGACAAAAATGGTGTTGCCTTTGATATGATCGAAGTCTCCTTGAGATGTATAGAATTGGGCTGACCAAGTTTTCAAAACTTGGTCA